TGGAAGCTCATCTTCTCTGTCACAGCATCTGCCTTTTGGAATAAGGTTTTTCCCTGAGATCCAGATGGCCCCAACTCTGCCATTATTTACCCTGGGGAGGGAGAGTGAGACCTTTCATTTCATTGTACCTGCCATATTTTATCTTCATTTTTTACTGATTTTATGGCAGTTTTTAATTGTATGAGCTACCCAAAGTCAATGAGAGTCACGATGCATGCAAGTTTAATAAATCGTCGTCATCTTCATCATTATGATCCAATTTCCTTTTGCATTGGCAGCATTATGCAAATCAGAGGAAAAGAAATTAAAGAAGGTAAGAGAAAAGGAAAAGAAATCTAAATCATGTTGATACTACTAATTATGATGCCATATCCTTCTATCCTTACAAACCAGCTTGTTTCCATTGTCTCCACACATTGATTCATACAGTCCCTTTTGTTTTCTCTTCTCCCCCCCCCATCAATTCCATCTTAACATTTCTCAATCAATTTTCCCAAGGTCTGACTTTCAATTTCTGATTGATACTCCCAGAAGTGTATTAGATATTCAAATATAATATCTCTCTAAATGGATAAATGATGAATAACAGTTCTTAAATGGCTTGATAGCATGAGATCTGGATGTTTCCTACAGCTGTACTGCCTCCCAGAAGTTTGTTGTAGATGCACATGTCAGTACAATGAGCATCAGGGACAATATTCCACTGCCATCCATCCATCCATCCAAATAATGCACAATAATAATTCTTAGAAGTGCATTATTTTTTCAAACAGGATGATGAACCAAATGTTGCTGGACTACAATTCTTAGCCTCCTTCACAATTCACCAAATTACCTAATACCCTGATAAAAATAGTAGTTCAACCTGATTTTTAAGAGCAGAAAATCCTGATTCTTGTTCCATTCCCAGAAAGTTACTCACCAGAAGGGATTGTAGTTTGTGTTACCTTTGTCAGAAAAAGAAAAAAAATGATATACTCTGGAAGAGTCTTTTCAAAATTGGATATCATGAAGATGTATGGCTTCAACACCCACAATCCTCAGAAATGGACACTGTGGCCAAAAATTTTAGGAACCAGTTAAGGAAAGGCTGCTCTGAAGTTGACATCCTCTACATTCCCAAATTCAATATCCAAGGACAACAGAGTTCTATACCCTTGAAGGAGCTATGGACATCACTAAGGAATTTGTGTAGTTCATTAGCATTTTAATTTTTACTTCCAATTGTTACACTTTTTAAAGTACATTGAATGGAATATATAAATGTAATGAAATTCAATAACAGTCTGCAATATTTTAAAGTGGAAAGGAAGGGCTGAATAGGAAAAAAAATTGTTCAAAAGCATCAGAGGACATTAAGCTTAATTTTTAACGGGAAGAGATGTGCGTAATTTTATAAGAATTATTGCTGCAACAGAGGTCTGCTTCAGTGGTATACTAGTTTATCTGTAGTAGTCTGTAACATTAATATGAAGTACTGATACAGCACTTTTCTTTCATTCCAGTTTGAAAAAAATCTTGTCCTGGTAAGCTTCCAAAAACATGTTATCATCAAACATAGGACAGTCTCAGCTGCTGGAATTTACAGGAAAGGCCAAATTTGGGTAATCCATTCTGAAATTGTGCAATCAATAATTAGTTCCTTCAAATGTGATTTGTGTCATTGTCAAAAATAGTAATTTAGGATCTTTATTTATTGTGCTGGACTGGATGGACCTTAGATGAAAGCTATGGAATGGAATGTATGAATGACCTTGAGGAAAGAATGGAAAAGATGCTGCCTAGGAAACTATCTGACAAGAGAAGGGGGAGCCCTCAAGGTCTTAACGATCCAAGAAAGAAACTTAGGAAGGATCTGCCCTAACTGATCAGATGGTTAAAAATGGCGGTGACTTTGAAACATTGATATCAACTCCCCAAAGCAAACCAGACAGGAAACACCAGACAATTAAATCTACTTTATTGTAAGGCTACATTAACAGAATTTTGCAAGTCTGAAGGTACAAACTTTCTACTTGATAAATTTGGTGAGTCCTTCCTACATTTCTTTCTCTGACCATTAAAACCTTGGGTTCCCCTTTCTCTTATTGTTTCCTAGGCAGCATCTCTTTCCCTCATCCCCCCAAAGTCATCCACACATTACACAATTAAAACAAGTGAACAGAACACGCTATGTGAAAAACCAAATCATTAAAAAAAAACAATTGTATTTTGTTTGGGAAAAGAAGGCGTGCTTATGAGAGAAATGTGTGCAATAGGTGTGCTATGTAGTAACCAAAAGAAAGCATTAAATATGATACTGGATACAAAATTAGTTTCCTGAGAATCTTTCTTTTAATATATTTTTAGGAAAATGAGCAACTTATTTCGGTGTCTTACATCACATGTTTGGTGTGGAGTAGAATTAATAAAAAGCTTGAGGTAAAATGAATAAAAATCAGCTGGGTGATGTAATGCAAGAGAAAATACAGCTCTAAAATTCCTCAAGATGTGATAAATGAGTCATTTGTGGTTTTAAACACTGTGTAAAAGTACACATAATGTGAGGAAAGGAAATTCTTACCACCACTTTCACATCAACATTTTAATGATTCATTTACCTTATCTTATGAATGAAATTCTACAAGGTGGTCTTGATTTGTAACACTTCCTTTTCCTGTATTTTCCTTAGTTTATTTTATTTTATTTTATTAAAAAATGGTGTTGAGAAAGAAAAGTTGGAATAGCTCCCCAATTACTTTTGATTAAGGTAGTTTTCAATTTAGAACCATAATTGAGCCTGGGAATTACGGTTGTAAGTCATGAAGATCGTGAAGCAGGTCATCACATGACCGACCCTTTGGGTGGGATTTTTTTTGGGGGGGAAACTGGAAGTAAACATCACTTTTCAGCAAAAACATCATGAGTTGTAATCACCTGACTGCAGATGCTGCAAACAGACGTAAGTACATGTCAGCTGCCAAGCACCTTAAATGTGACCACATGAACATGGGGGGGGGGGAAACGGCTGGCATAACTTTGGATAGGTTCCAACAGTTTGTAGGATCCATTTTGTAGGATCCATTGTAACTTCAAATAGCTGCTGAGTGACCAGTTGTAAGTTGAGGACTACCTATAATTAAACCCTAAACATCACAGCCTTGATGCAGTACTGAAATGACTGCCTAATCCCGCAATTATTTATTTTCAGAATAGCTAAATAAAAGCCATCCCTCTCTATGAGGAAAATATGAGATTTTAAAATTTGATAAATAAATAAAAAATATCTTAACTTCCATGGACACACTTTTGAATCCCTGACAGCTTTAGTTCCCTAAAGGTAGGAAAGGCTCTTCATAAAAACAACAAACCTATAATTTCCATCTCTGCATGTGGATTGGGGAAACATATGGAAATTACGATTGTTGGACTAAGGAGCTGCCCATAGAGTTGAATGATCTGAATGCTGGGTCTGTTTTGCCCTTACTTTCCTAAAGATAGGCTAAATCATAGATTGTAGAAGTAACCAACATGGATTTAACAGGACGAAGCTGGGAAGTGAGCGTACTATGACAAGGTAAGATCAGACATGATGATAGATGGAAAAGCTTTAGCAATAAAGAAGGTCAGGAGTTCACAAACTCCCTGGAAGAACCATGAGCAACTTAACCTGATCCATCATACACTGGTAGCCCATGAGCATTCCTACCACTGCCCGTTCAAATCTGCAATACTACAAACTTTGTGGACCCCTATGATCTACAGATAATTATTAAAAACAGTAAATTTATTTCTCATACAACCTTAATATGAATTGAAATTAATGAAATTAATTTTACTGGGAGGGAGGTGAGAAATGTTACACAAATTAATTAACCTCTTCTCGGCTGATTTGAAACTGCGCAAGGCAATTGCTGTAAAACTCATTGCCCCGATGTAGGCTACCTGTAAGATTTATGGATATTTAAATTATTTGATATTTTGTATTAAAACTTAATTTCCATCCAATCTTTACATTATGTGATTTACGTTAGGAATGTTATCTGGGTGAAAGATTAGAATAAACATTATCCTGCATGTCACATGTGCAACATCATAAGCTTTTTATTCAAAATAGTCACAAGAACCACATTCTATGTTAAGCTCCTAATTACATTCCTGACATACCTTTTGGCAGCCTGGACTTGTTCACTGACCTTGTTATAATGTATGATACTAATTGACCTCCCTTGTTTCTAAATAGGATCTTAATGTTTATAAATACATATAATTTCAATTACTTATTTGTGTCACCCTAGCATTATATACACATACTTCTCCACTTGCAAAAAACCCTCACAACAAAGTTATAATACTTTCTATATAGAGCAGGGGTCCCCAACCCCTGGTCCGTGGCATGCCAGCAACTGGGCCACACAAACAAGCAAAGCCCCATCTGTGGGATGCAGGCAACACACAAAACCACGGCCCCTCTGGTCTGCGGAAAAAACTCTCTCCACATAACCGGTCCCTGGTGCCCAAAAGGTTGAGGACCTCTGATATAGAGAACTCTTTACAACATAGAACCCCTCTTCTTTTTTGAAAAAAAAAAAAAGAATTATAGGAGTATATTCTACATTTCAAATAGAGAATGTTTTATGAATGGTACAAATCAACAGTAAACTATAGTTGATATATGTTTCTGTCTGATGGTGGAGCTAAGATTTCTGTTATTAGTGAGTTCATGTTGATGCAATCAAAATATATTTCTGCAAGTATTGTAGTTGTATGTATTTTATAGTAGAGAAATGAAGGGAAGAACAAACAATTCAGTTGTTAAAAGAAATCCTAATTCTTGATGGGAAAATGTATTTCTCCTCTAGTTCCTCAGTTAATTTTATGGTTTAGCTGTCAGTTTGGTGAGTTTTAAAATGTACAGTGACAAGCCTGTTTTTGGCCAGCCCTGACAAAGCATTTGATAACGAAAGCCACCGACTGCCCAAAATCAAGAAACATTATTTCTGTAGTTCCCATTTACCTTTATTATATTAAATAAATTAATGCAATATATACAAATATACTTCCATTCATAAAAATCATAAATATGTTAAGTTATTATAGTACCAGGAAGACCCTCAATTCACACCAAGGGTATGTACAACTTTACAGAATTATTAAAAAGTTAGGTTTCTTTCTATCCAGCAGTTAATCACCAATATATATTTAAAGTGCTAAGTTCTGGCAATGGCAACCAACAACACGTTACCAGCTGAAATAGTTGGCAGTTTTGATTAAAACGGAATAATCTATGTGAGAGTTGTTGCCAGATATCTGCCCAAAAATGGCATTTCTGAACCACTTCCACGGTCAATTGTCAATTCAGGTCAAGGGAATCTTTCCCTTTTTTGAGTTATTTACTTGTAACAAATTCTAATGTTTAAGGGCAATTTGTACCATACCTTTTATGCAAAATCAGACTGCTAAAAACCCTTTTGTATAGTTTTATCACCACTTGATGTACCCAGAACACCCAATATAAAAAGATGCCAACCAAAAGTGCAGTAAAAACAGTAACATTTCACCATATATGTCAGTTAATATATTTCAAACAGATCTCGTCATTTTAACAGTGAAGTTAAAACAGGAGTTTAACATAGTGTTTTAAAATCAGATGTTTCACAGAAACCATAAGCCAAAGGTACAACGAAGAGTCAGTTATTATTGCTTCCAGAGAGGACTTTTTTTTCCCATGGCATCCATGCAACATTAATGCATATCAAGCCTGTGATGAGTCAGGGTTGAGTTTTTAACTCCTTACAAATATGGTGGCATATTTTCTTTTTCTGAGGATCTGCTCCTTGCTTTTTTACATTTGCATATCACCACGGATAAAATGATAATCAGAATGAGGAGTCCAACAGCAGCCCCCACTATGATGAGGATTTTGTTCAAATCAAGAGCTGGAAAGAAGAGAAATGCAATGTCAGTTGAATTAGATGCAAGCTTTGTATTTATCCGAACTTTGCCCTGACTGAAGCTATTCTACATTAACAGGGGAAATTAAATGCTGTAATAAATCCAAAGCATTTCCTTACAACTAGGAGGAAACATTCCAGAGGCACTGACTTTCTGACAAAACTGGTGTAGAAGAGTTAGTGGATCCGAATAATAACCTTAGCTTAACAAGCTACTATAGGTGTTTGGACAAGAAGGGCTATACCCTGAGATATTTTATTTGTTCTGAATAGTTCAGTCCTCATACATCTGTGATATCTCTGAATATAGAAATCTAAGAATTTCTTCAAATCTTAGAGCAAAACAATAGTTGGTACAATCCGTAAGAAGCAACAAAACGAAGAAAAAAAATGGCATCATTTTATGACAATCTCTTGTGCAATCTGAGTAAAGTGAGGTCACAACTAAATTGTACCACTTAAAGGGAAACATTATAAAATCACATAATACATACCATCCAAGTCTTCCCTGTGAACACTGGTACATTTTATACTGCTTTTTTGATTTTTCTGGTTATTTAAGCGGCTTGGAATATTAGCTTGGACATAGAAACAGTAGCTGTTTTCTTTATCAACCTCAATTTCAAACTGATTGGTTTTTGTCTTTGCCGATTTCTAAATGCAACAAAAAGATTATTTCAGTTATCTGCAGATATTCTAGTTCTCCACACTGCAGCCCAGTAAATTGTAATCCACTACAGGTAGCCCTCGACTTACAACAGTTCATTTAGTGACCATTCCAAGTTACAACAGCACTGAAAAAAGAGACTTATGACCGTTTTTCACACTTACAATCGTAGCAACATCCCCAGGGTCACGTGATCAAAATTTGGATGCTTGGCAACTGGTTCATATTTATGATGGTTGCAGTGTCCTGGGATCATGGGATCCCCTTTTGCGACCTTCTGACAAGCAAAGTCAACGGGGGAAACCAGATTCACTTAGCAACCCTGTTACTAATTTAACAATGGCAGTGATCCGTTTAACAATTGTGGCAAGGAAGGTAGTAAAATAGGGCAAAATTCACTTAACAAATGTCTCACTTAGCAACAGAAATGTTGGGCTCAGTTGTGGTCGTACATCGAGGACTACCTGTACTGTAAAAACAGCAGTACAGGTATGATTATTGCTATTAATATAGGAGTAAACATAAAGGCTTACCGATTTATTACAGATAGTCCTCAATTTACAAGTATTTGTTTAGTGTCAAATTTATGACACTGAAAAAATGACTTATGACTGTTTTTCACATTTACAACTGTTGCAGTATCCCCATGGCCACGTGATCAAAATGTGGGCCCTTGGCAACTGGCATGAATCTATGTTGTAGTATCCTGAGGTCATGTGATCACCATTTGTCACCTTCCCAGCTGGCTTCCGACAAGCAAAGTCAATGGAGGAAGCCAGACTCGCTTAATGCCTGCATGATTCACTTAATAACTGTGGCAAAAAAGGTCATAAATGGGGCAAAACTTACTTAACAAATGTCTTGCTTAGCAGCAGAAAATTTGGGCTCAATTGCTCTCATAAGTCAAGGACTAGCTATAATTATGCTTTTTTTTTTATTTATTCCCCTCAACTTTATTCTTGAGAGCCGTGCCCCACTTTACAATAAAAAATCTTAAAGAGCATAGAACTACATCTTACATTCAAGTGAGTTTGAAAAAGGAAATGCTGATGCTGACCAGCAAAGGTTAAACATTCTTAGAAATTAGATTCTCACCTTGCCCGTGCTCTGATCCTTCCAGTAGTATATCATGTATTCAAGATCATTTTTGAATATGTCCCTGATAGTTTGCAAGGTACCATTAACTCTGTATGGTGTTAGTGGATCAGCTACTTCCACTTTCAGAGTTGCGTCTTTTTGTTCAAAATGTGTTACCGTTGGCGTTCCAAGCTCAGCTAGAAAAGAAGTACAACCTAGTGTGATTTTTTATAATATAAAAGAAGTGCACAACAAATGCTATTATTTTCAAAAGGTCTTGGGCAAAGGGATTGTATAGAATGGGGAGGAACAAAATAAGGAATATCACCTTTTTTTAAAAAAACAGCTGTCATAAATTGGGGAAAAATGCATTACAGTTCTAAGTGCAAACATTTATTTCTGAGCACAGATGTTTTTGGTCAATTTACAATGGCTGTTTAAAAATGTAGCATGACTAAAGGTGGGGAGTGCTAACTTGCCTATTTTTAGCTGCACAGGATACTTTTGTGGGTTTGCAGGTCTTTGAGTCAGTGTTGATTTCTGGTGACTATCTAGAGGACAAGCTCCTGCAGTTTTCTTGGCAAGTGATTTATAGTTACGGCACCAGGTTAGAAACTAGGAGATCATAAGTTCTAGTCCCTCCCTTCTTAGGCTTGGGTCAGTCACTCTATATATACCAGGCAGTTTTACAGATACAAGTTCCTCCATCAATACATCAAAATGAAACAAATGATTAAATCCAATGCTGTATTGTTCCAACTGAATAAACTAGTTTTCTTCCTTTTTAGCCTTTCATTAAATGTTGGGAGAGCCATAGGTTATATAGTAGTCCTTAACTTATGACCACAACTTAGACCAGTGGTGGCGAACCTATGGCACACGTGCCAGAGGCGGCACTCGGAGCCCTCTCTGTGGGCATGCGCACCATGCCCTGGAGATGGCAACTGTCCCTCTTCAACCAGCCACCTGCTAACTCGCCAAGGTCCCACGTGGCCAGATACATCCCAGCATGGCTGGTTTCCCTCCCCCCATCTCTCCCTCAAATGCTCTCTTTTTCCCGGGCACGACCCACTGCATCGCCTCCTCAGCTGTTGGCCAGCTGTCCAGCTCAGAGGCGGCTTCTCTGAACTGCTGGAGGCTGGCTGCGGAGCCCCAGAGTGTGCCGGCAGCCTGTGGTTGCTGACAGACACTATCAGCCTCTATGCGCTTGCTGGCCTCTGTGTGCGGGGGCCGATGATGTCAGGTAGCAGCCACCCCGGTCCCTGCCTCACCTTGCCCTGTGATAATGGCACCTCCGCCCTGCCTTGCTTTACCTCACCCCTCAGGATGAGCCTCCTGCCCACCGCCCCATCTGCCAGAGACTCCCTGGATCTCCCCCAACCCTGCCCAGCCCCCACAGGCATCCCTCCCCACGAGCAACATCGAGGTGGCCACACCCACCCAGTCTGCCATGACCACAGCCACGCCCATCCAGTGGGCCATGCCCACTTGGCACCCGGCGATAAATAAGTGGGTTTTGGGTTGCAGTTTGGGCACTCGGTCTCTAAAAGGTTCGCCATCACTGACTTAGACCAATGTGGTAGTTAAGTGAGGCATTATGTGACTGGACGTGACCTGACTTCCTTAATTGGCGTTGCTTTTTGGGAGCTTGGTGGGAAGGTCACAAATCGCAGGATACCGCAGTTGGTCATACATACAAGCTGACTGCTAAGTGCCTGAACTGTGATGATGTAACTGCAGGTGTGATGTGACAGTTGGAACCTTGAGGACAGGTCATAAATCACTTTTTCCAAAGCTGTCATAACTTTCAGCCGTTGTTAAATGAATGACTGTAAGTCATGGACTACCTCTATATAAAAAATTCAGTCTCTCAAAACTAAATTACAATATTGAACTATTAACAGGAAGCAATGCCTTCCTTTAAATCTTAAAAACACACTCCTTATAAGTCTTTATACCTAACTTTCTTTTCTGGGCATAAATATATTAAAGGTAGTGGAATCTATATCCTATTTATTATACTTACTTTGTATGTAAGGTACAAACGCTGAAGAAACTTCATATTGAGGTGTCTCAAAATTATCGTCATCATATGGTATTTCAGAATATATGCGTGCTGTGTAAGTATCTTTTACATTCTGTAGTATCACATTAGTAACGTCACATTCAGTTTTATCAGTATGAATGCATACTTTTTCTCGTCTTAAGAGATCCCTATAAAGATTAAGATCAAGAATGTAAATCAAGCATTTTATGCATAGGCATGAGGAACAAGATTGTTATATATATATACATGCCCTGCAAAATGATCAGAAAAAAAAATGGATATCATCCTGGCCACATACATAACTTTCACTTTGATCCATACAGTCAAAAAGCAAAATGTTACACATTTTCAAGGTCAGCAGTAATCTTGCCCATGTTAATGAGATAAACAGTGTAAATAAGAAAACATGAAATGGCCTTTATGTCCTTGAGTATTTTGTACTTCTGCAATGAATTAGACATAACTGCTTTCACAGTAGACTTAGAAGTATTTAGAAATGCAATAATACAGGAAAGGTAGGCCAAATTTTACAGTGTCAATTTATGCCCAATATCAAGTCACATTATGGAGATGTTTTTCATATATGCATTCTTGTTATTTCTCAAACTGCTCCATTACAACAGATGAAATACAAACATATCTAAGGAAAGGTATGGGTGTGTTTCCAAACGGTAACTTACCCGTCCATTTCAACGGTATAAACATAGCCAACTGGCTTTGGATCCCATTGGAGCAGAGTCTTAAAGTTGACTGATGACCAAGTAATGTTTACAGCCGTCTGTACTGCAGAGCTACCTGTTTGAAAATGTGTAGAGGAATGTGACCAAGGGATTTTCCCACATATTACAATATTTTGTGCGGGTTGTTAAATTGTTTAAGGCTCTGACAATATTATAAACATAATAATTTATCCCGTATTTTTCTAAAATGTCTGATTGACTCTCCTGGTTGCTAGCCTGGTGCCTTAATCACTAGACCAAGCTGTCTCTCATTGCAAATGTTGCAGGACTTGTAGCTCATGTGTTTTAATTTGTGCTAATCCAAAATTTAAAAATGAGATATATTATTTCCTCATGCAACAGAGAGTCTCCTTGAATCAACAGTTCAGACAAGCTACATCTGTATACTATGCATAAAGCAGTCTTCTATAATTAAAAGATTGTAACTCATAATCTCCTCTGATTTGTCCATTGAGCTATTACCCAAAACATGCAAAAAAACATATATTTGGAGAATATTTAGAATATTTAAGATATTCTGCATTAATACCAACACATTGGCTAGATTCTTACATGATGTTTAATCCTACACAAAAAAGTAAGTGTGGTAATGGACACTTCACATTATGCATTAAGTTGTATTTGTTGCCTGGAAACTTCTGGATGCATTTAAGGTGTTGGTCATCACCTACAAATCCCTACAGTACATGGCATAGTTGATTATCTATCTGGTTATTTGAGGGACCACATATCTCCAATTACGTCTGCACATACAAACTGAGTGGGTGCAATCCAGTCCCTTCACTTAAAGAGTGCCATCTTGTGGGACCAAGGAAATATATCTTCTCTATCGTTACCATTGCTTTTTAGAACAGCATCCCCCCCCCTCCCAGAGCTATGGACAGCGCCCACTATTCTGGGGAACCAAAAGATCTAGCTTAGTTCTCAGACCTGGAGCTAATGTGTTTGTGGGACCCATCATATTTATACTGCTTATTGTTCTGACTGTTTTAGTCATAATTGCCTGCTTATGTGTGTTTTTAATCATTTTCTTTTTTTTAAAAAAAATGTAAGCTGCCCAGAGTCTAACATAGTGGGCAACCTCAACAAATTTAGTAAATTGAACAGAATAGCATTTATATTATTTCTCAATGTGCTGAAATGGTTCACCCAAGATGCTAATTCAATGTCTAGGTTTCTGTCTAGAAACACTATCTAACCTCATGTTAGCTTAGAATGTCGTATGAACCAAGACACTGTAATTTTGTTTACGCTAAGCGGATGACCAGTTATGGTGGGCATATGAAATTTCTGTAGAAAAATTGGAAGGGGATTTTTTAGGACTTTTAAATCCACATTGCAAAGATCTGGCTAACCATACAGTGCTAGCAAAGAAGTATAGAAATGTGAAATCCTTGGTGCTCTCTGAAGGTAGTTGTCCATTTACAGATGTTTCATTATGTGACTAGGTAACACAGTCAGTGCAAGTGAGTGTGAGGTTTGTTCCTTGTTTACTATACAACAGCTTTCCCTGCCAGTGTTGGGGAGGGGCGTGATTTTCTCCTTGGTAGTTTCTTGATGAGAGGATGCTTGACTGTTTGTTTGGTGTTATTTGGGTGTAGGTTGCTGAAGAGGATGTGTTCAGGTCTTGTGTCTTCCTTAGCTTTTTTTTATTGTTTCTTTTGAATGTTGTGTAAATGTAAAAACTAAGAAGGAAACAAACAGACCAGAACACATTCTCTCCAGCAACCTACACCCGGATAAGCAGGGATTAACACTAGAGTCTAGACAAACAATGAAGCAGAAAAGAATACCCCAATCAAGGAACTATCAAGGAGAAAACTACACACACATATCCAACAGTTGCAGGGCAAACTACTGTAGATAAACAGAGAGCAAACTCCACAGTCACTAGCACCAATAATGATACCTAGTCAGATAATGAAGCAACTAAGCTCAGAGGGCACCAAGGGACTCTCCATAATTCAACCTTGAGCAACATATATTCTCTTCTGTTGGAAAATATTAATTCTTTGATGCCATTTTGTAGTTGTCTGCTATATTTCATATATGCCCTATTTGTGCGCCTTTCCAAGATTAATCCCTGAAGAAAAGGATATTGAACTCAAAGGATGGCTGGCTTTTATGTTTATGACTTGAGAAAAAGGGATACCTTTTTCTTTCTAAGAATGCATAATATCTCTCCTTATGCTCCAGTGATTACCGTCTTTATATTCATTGCATTTATATGCTCCTCATAGCTACAAGTTAGCCAGCTACATTATTGTACTATTGAAAGGTACCCTAAAGTTCCATTCTTTCTTTAGAAAACAGACTACATGTGACAAAATAGTCTTTGGCAGGCTTTATAGCTCTTCAAAGCAATTATTTAGATTTTATTTGCTTCTTGGTATTATTAGATTATCCTTCTTTCCTACATCTAATTTCATCATTTTAACTGAGACCTTACTGAGAATAAAATTATGTTTTAAATACAGGTTTCAATTTTTTTCTGTGGTTTGTGAATTTACTGATAGGATGTGCAGTATGGCTGTGTAATGGTTATAAATATTTCTTATGAATCTACATACACATTAAAGCATTCCAGGTGGGCAACATAAATATGTTGCCATCTTGCTTCTGTCCCACAAAGTTCTTCAACCATACTGTAGTAAGTGAGCCTTCTGTTGTTAAATAGGCAATGCAAATGTAGCTAACACCTCCAGTTATGTCCACATCAGTTTTAAATTCCAGTTAGTACCAAAATCCCATTCCACATTTGCATATTACATTTAATGGTATCAGATGGGAATAAAGAAGCAGCCCATTCACTCACACAAATAGGCAGGGAAACAGTTATATATGAATATAAATCTCTGCTTTTATATTAAAGATTTACAGCTTAATAAGTTTAAATACTGGTTGGAAAGAAGTATTTCCAACCTTGAAAGAGTGCAATATCTGCAACTCTCTGCTATTTATTAAAGTAGTCCAGCTTTTTTGCAGGTTTTCATAAGATGCTGCTTTAAGTAATCTATTAGCATCAGTGCAATTGTTAAAACAGCTACAAATTTTTTCCAGGCTTGCATACATACCTAAAAAAGACCAGGTTGTTTTAATGAAGGGCGGGTAGATATTATGTTTATGTGAGGTCCAAAGTACTTCTGATCATTTTCATACTACACATAGCCCTTCTGCTTAGTTAATCTGTTTATAACATTTTTTAATGGAATAGATTTATCAATGCCCTGTTGATATTAAATTAAGAAAACTCATTGTTTCAATGCGACACCATGATATCAACACACTATTTTAAAGTGTACCAACATTGCACAATACTTATAAGCAGGCCTTTTTTTGTCATAGAATGCCCAGAACGGAGTTCCGGCACCTTTTTTGGATGGAACCTTGTAGGGTATGACGTGTGTGAGTTCCGGCACTTTTTTTTTTTTTAACAAAAAAAGTACTGCTTATAAGTGTATTTAATTGCTTTGAAAACATTCTAGTTTTTCCTATTTCTTAGTAAACAGACGGCAAATTTCTCCATTAAACTTATCCTCTGGATCGCCTTGAACAAGGAGATAGGCAGCAAATAAATTTGATAAATAAAACACTTAATTGATAAATATTCCGAATACATGGACTTAAATCACCCCATTCTTCCATTTGCACTTGAACAATCAACTCAGATCTGACTAGAGAACATATACAAATATATCCTTAACGCTTAGTTTAGCAGCTCCTAACAGAATATACTTCTTAAACCTTTCTGATAGATTCCATACTTCTTGCCAGTTTTTTTTATCCCCAGAATGATGAGCACTCCCCATCACTCAGACACTTGTACCCAGCTTCATGGATTTTACTTAACTAGCTTAAGTAATTTCATCATTATAACTGAGACCTTAGCTCATTTCTAGAGGGAGCTGTTCTTACTTAAGACCGGACCTCGCGCTGCAGTCCAAATGCAAGGATGACCTCTAGCCCACTTCAACAACTATTCTTATTCTTATTTAAATCAAAACCGTGGGAAATGGGGAAAGAAACCACACGGAAGGCGAAACAGAAACGACGGATCCCCCAAGCTCACGAGAAAAAAAAATCCAGCGTAACCCCTTCCAGACAGCAAGCCAACCGCGCAGACAGCAAGTCCAACGGCGCGAAAAAGGGGCATCTCGGGGATGGATCCCCTCGCCCGCCCGCCCGCCCGCTCGCTCGCTCGCTCACCTGAGTCGGAGAGAAGCCGAGCGAGCATCGCGCAGAGCAGCAGGAAGGCTGGAGAGCCGGGCGCCCTCGCCGTGGAAAAATGCCGCCGGAACATCAGGACTCGTCGAAGGGAGTTCAAGAAACGGAGAGCTTTGCGTCCGTGTGTGTGTCTGCCTGTGCGTCTGTCTGTGTGTGCGGGCGGGCGCGCGAATCAGCGGCGTTAACTAAGAAGTTGGCTCGCTCTTCCTTCTTTTATAGTACTCCCCTCTCTCTTTCTCCCCCCCCCTCCCGCCCCTCCCCCCGGAAACTCCGGACAGACGGCGGGTGGCTGCCTTAGAGGTTCCTTGAATCACTCAGGCGCTGGCTGTGATTCAGCTCTCACGCCCGCGAACTGCCACCGCGAGGTGAACCGCTCCTTCTCTCTCTCTCTCTCTCTCTCTCTTTCCAGGATCCGGGCCAGGTGCGCAGCGGGGGGAAAGGGAGGAGCGGCCTCGCCTTTTGCACAGGTATCTTAGGGTGGAGACCAGCCGAATTCGGAGGGGAAAAAGAAGCCGGTGATCGCGGTGAGAGCCTCAGACTGGAAGGGGGATGAGGGTTGCTTTCTTCCCCCTTGCTCCGCCCCGCGATGCGCGGGAACGAAAGGGCACCAAGGGGCCAGCCATAGATCTCCGTCGCCGTCTGAAGCGGGAGGAGGGGAGAAGAGCTGGGCGAGAGGAAAGGCCGGTGGATAATGATGCTTTTTCTAACCAAGATTAGAGAAACCACCCTTGCTGAAGTCAAAGGGGGTGTGCATGAACTGTTAAGCCCCATCGATCTGGGTAGATCAGTTCAGATCCAACCGCACAATTGGAAGCACTCAAAATGGGGGGGTTGTCGTCCCCTATCCCTGCCAATGCAACTTAAAAATCAAATGTGTAATAAACTGTAACCTTCTTCCCAAAGCAGTCGCCATGTTTGCTTATTTATTCCCGGCTTGGATGAACCAGGATGAAGACTTACTTCTAACAGTGTACCTTCGGGTTTTTAATAAAAAGATTCTCCTTATAGCGCACTGGCTCACTCTTGATCTTTAGGGATGAGCTACGCCGGTAGCTTCAGGGCAAAAATATGAATGTTGCTTTTGTAAGAACTCCATTTGAAACTACTCTCAAATCGCAGATCGCGGAGAGGTAACAGTTATAAATCTGACAAAGCTTAAGATGCTGAGGTCAAGTTAAAAAAAACGGCAGGATTGTCTGACATCCATGTAGGGATGATATTTCAAGTACAGGAACCTCGCCAGTTTCATGAGATCCAGATGCCTGCACCATAACTACTGTATCATCAGCTCCACATAAAAAAAAATATAAGCAGCTGTAACCTGTAATTTGATGGTTCCTTCGAGTGGGTCCCATGTAAAAATCACAGATTTTACCAAGACCCACAAAATATACCATTGGCAAAACGTACATTACCACCTTCTTTCAAATGCATAGTCTATATGTGTTTGAGATGTAAATTAGGACCGGTGTCAGATTTTTTTTTTCCATTTAGCTTATCAGGAACTATTGTACCACAATAATTTGTTTGCATTTAGAGATTTATAGCATTGTATTGCATTTGGATGCTGGAGAAAGTTGCACAGATTGAATTTATCTTTGAAATGTAGCTGCAATAAAGAAAGCATCTTGCTAAGAGAAAAAAAGAGGTAATGTAAGAAAATTCTTAAGGTATTTTTCTTACCTTCACTAAATTAATTACAATACTTTTGGGGAAAGAAAAAAGGTTAGAAGAATTTCTTGCGAGTACTAATTACGTTAAAACAGCGGGTAATGCTATATGTTTATATTGTGGTATTTATCCAGCTTCTTCTAACTGTAGATACCCGACACACACTGAGCTAAAGCATGATTGATCAGTCTACAGCTTAGTCTGTGCAAAACCTGTCAGCATGGTTAGTTTATGGTTCGGTATGCTCTATGAACTCTCTCTCGAACTCTCTCTCTCTCTCTCTCTCTCTCTCTCTCTCTCTCTCTCTATTTCAACTCAAGCTTCACTTTGAGAGATACTTTCATATACTTCTTGGCAACAAAATAAAAATGATTTGCTATTTCCTTACTCCGTGGTTTCTTATGTGCGGTTTTGGGTTGCTTGCTTGCTTTTGAACATCTTACTCTAGCCTATTTCTTGATGGTGTCTCATGCAAATAGTATGTAGGTCTAACCCTAGTTTACCTTTCTGAGAATTCATGTGATGCTAAACCTGCTGATGACAGAGATATTGTCGGATAGCAAACAACATCAATGGATGTTTAAATTCTATTGAATAGTGTGCAGATAATTTCTGAGGATACCCTTTTACAAATATACATCTGAAATATGAATGAGTTAGCAAGAGAAGGAGAAAACATTCTATATATTAATATTTGGAATAAAATGTGATTATGTTAATAAGACAGTAAATCTAAGTTGAGAAGATGTTTAAGAGATCATACAGTTCCTTGTGCCTCCTAAAACCTGGCTTAGGCAGCACTGTAAGACAGATTTGTTTTGCAGATGGGCAACATTATTGGCCATTCACTATTACTTTGTCTTTGTCTATGTCCTTTCCATCAGAAGCTTTTTTTGGTCACTGTTGACACCTGCCAACTGCCTTGACTAGTCCCTGCAGTTTTCTTGATAAGGTTTTTTGGAAAGTAGTGTGCCATTGTCTGCTTCCTAGGACTGAGAGAGAGTGACTGGCTCAAAGTCACCCGGCTGATTTCGTGTCTAAGGAAGGACTAGAACTCACAGTCCCCCAGTTTCTAACTTGGTGCTTTAACCACTACACCAAAATGATTCTGTAATTACTTTGTTTAAAATGGGTTAAAAGAAAAGATACTGTTCTTGGAAATTAATTGATACATCAGAAACAAGAAAAGTAAATTAAATGCTATGTTAATTTTTGATCCATGTGAGTAGGAAAACGCTACAAGAAATCACTTTTCCCCTTGACTTTTTATCACAATCTTGCCGTGAAGGACATTCTTGATATAAAAGCTACTGCACATGTTGTTGCCTCTCAACAGCACCTTTTTTTTGTTTGCCTTAGAACAACTTTTGATAGACTTGAACACTGGGCACTATCTAACAAAATGAAATTCAATGGTGAAAAAAGCAAGGTTCTACATTTAGGCAAGAAAAACCAAATATACAGGTATAGTATAGGGAGTACCTTGCTCAATAGTAGTAACTGTGAGAGGGATCTCGGAGTCCTAGTGGACAATCACTTAAATATGAGCCAGCAGTGTGGCGCAGCTGCCAAAAAAGCCAACACAGTGCTGGGCTGCATTAACAGAGGGATAGAATCAAGATCACGTGGAGTATTAATACCACTTTACAATGCCTTGGTAAGGCCACACTTGGAATACTGAATCCAGTTTTGGTCACCACGATGTAAGAAAGATGTTGAGATTCTAGAAAGAGTGCAGAGAAGAGCAACAAAGATGATTAGGGGACTGGAGGCTAAAACATATGAGGAACGGTTGCTGGAATTGGGTATGTCTACTTTAATGAAGAGAAGGACGAGGAGGGACATGATAGCAGTGTTCCAATATCTCAGGAGCTGCCACAAAGAAGAGAGAGTCAAGCTATTTTCCAAAGCACCTGAAGGCAGGACAAGAAGCAAGGGATGGAAACTAATCAAGGAGAGAAGCAACCTAGAACTAAGGAGAAACTTCCTGACAGTTAGAACAATTAACCAGTGTAACAACCTGCCTCCAGAAGCGGTGAATGCTCCAACGCTGGACAGCCATTTGTCCAAAATGGTATAAGGTTACCTGCCTGAGCAGGGGGTTGGACTTGATGACCTCCAAGGTCCCTTCCAACTTTTTTTTTATTATTATTATTATTATTATTATTATTATTATTATTATTATTATTATTATTATTATTATTATTATTATTATTATTATTATTAAGTTTTCCCCAGCTTTCATACCTCATTGGCAGATGGGACTGCAATTCTTGTCATTCCCAATCCACACCACTCCTGCAGGCTAGAAACTTGGAAAGAATTCCGAAACAAATTTGGGGGATCTGGTTTAGAGAGATGGCATACATCAGAGTTTTTCAAACTTTGGGGAATTCTGGGAGTTGAAGTCCACACATCTTACAATTGCCAAGTTTTAAAAACACGGAGGTACACCAATAGTGAAAAGGTTAAAAGTTCCTCAAAATGCAGGTGGCACATTTGATACAAAAGCATGCTGAATGAAAAGCAGCACGAGAGTTCCAGAGCCTGTTATTAGAAGCCCCAGTGAGCTTTTTTCCTAAACATATCACGTTTGCCTTTGAAAAGGAGGATTCCTGGAAAACACTTGGTTTCTATTCAAAGCTCTGACCATTTAACTTGATGCTTATTCTGCAGTGGGAATGATTATGGATGGGAAAAGAAATAAGGGCTCTTGACTATTATCACTGTGTGGCAAAGAGATTCCACAAAGCAACTTACCCAGCCAGTTCTTTGCAAGCTGCAGCATTTAAAGAAACTGATTTGAGGCAAAGAAATACTGTTTTATTTTCTCCCTCCTGACTTTAATGGCGTGACAGTAGCCATCTTCAAAATAAAACCTAGGTTTCAGAAATTACACGAAAGCAAGCAAACTCATCTTTCCATGAAAATATGGCTTTCAACTCATATTGTTTTATTTTATTATTTCCACTGAAACAGTAAGAATTCAGTTATAGAAGCTCTTAAAGGAAATAATTATCCTGATCCCTTTCAGTCAAAATACTATCTCCAGGGATTGGAAATCTGTCAGATTTCTTGTGGGTTTTTAATTGTTATCATATGTAAATGTTCAGGTACTGCAAAAAATTCTTATGAACAAGATTACATGATATGTAATCTTAATTTATTACTTAACTTACGTAACTTAATGTGGGCATTAAAATAGGAAATCTCAATCTAACATTTAAAAACATCTAAAAAGCATCACTTAACATTTAATAGCCTTGCCTAATTTTAAATCCTCCAGATATCCTTGGCTTCAGCTCTCATTATCTCTGTTCCACAATATATGGAGAACATCAGATCAAAGAAAAGGGCTACTGAACATATGGGAAAGGTGAGGGACAAAAACGTTGGGGTAACTATATGAAGATTGTACGGGCTCCAATTTGGAAAAACATTAGCTAATTACATTTCAGTTTCTGGAAAATGTGGGAGGAGAAAGGCGGATAGTAAACCCTAGTTGTCTGCTTGAAACTCCTTTGAAGTGCTTCAT